ATGGCACAGCACTATGCAGCATGTGAATGTCACACAAACTTTGTAATGCAAGGAGCTCTGGTGGCCTAGTGGCAAGATTGCACTGCAATCCCAGAGGTACATGGTTTCAAATCCACCAGATGCTCTGCTGAAAAGGAGGGGCAATCTCCTCCAGTACCAGTCAGATCTGATTTGATGTTACACACACAAAAGGTAATAAAATTTAGGGGGAAAAAACGCCCACAAACTTTGTCATGTATACAGTTAAAATTAGTTCAAAATAAAAAGTTAAAAAATTCACAGTACATATATGAATTTTTTTAATAATTTTTAAAAATTTTCTTATTTTTGTGTGAGTGTACCATCAACTGGTACAGGAGGAGATTATCCCTCCTTCCCCGGCAGAGCATCTGGTGGATTCGAACTGTGCGCCTCTGGGATTGTAGTTGCAGCTCCTTGCCACGAGGCCACCAGAGCGCCCCTTGAACTTTTTTTTTTAAGTTTTCATTTAGTCAGGCATGGAGGAAGAGTACCAACAGGAATACCACTACAGCCTGGAATTTTTTTAAAAAAATCAACGAATTTTAAAACCTTTCTTAGATTACTACCAAAGTGAAATTTTGCAAGAGATTAAAAGATAGCTAATTTCTATTTAACTAATGGCACTGAGGATACAAGCACTGTTAAATCCAACGTGTCCCTCCACAGAAGGAAGATGAAGCAAAGAATATCCCACAAAGACTTCCAGCCCTCAGGATTTGCAGCACAGTCCTATAGGTCACCACATCCTACAGGGCCATCCTGTCCCACAGGCCCACCACGAGGGAGAACACACTTGCAGGCAGTGGTGTTTCTTTCACTAATAACACAGATCACAGCTGAAATTTCCTAGACAATTTCTAGGACTGGTATATTCTGACATTTCAACTTTCTCTTTTTCATTATTTGACATCATCTTTAATCTCACACATAAAATTACACCTCTGGAACACAAAAATGCAATTTTATTATTCATGACTGAGTACTAATATTGAGAGCCATTTTTCAAGATATACTTGTTTCTAGAATAACCAATGCCCGTATTTTATATTCCAATAACCTATTCTAGAATAACCAATGCCCAAAACATATGATTATATATAATTTTTTTATATTTAAACTTTCAATTAATATAGAAAACTTGTCTTTTCAAAATACTTTTGCTTAAAGCAAGCTAAATGTATAATAAGGACTGACCTCCCACTTTAAATAGGAATAAAAAGTTAAAAATTTTTATTTCAAAATAGATCTAGATTACAGTAAAAGTTTAACAAACGGAGCAGCACAATGCTTTAGTATTTATGTTATAAATAAATAAATACAAACATACATACATACATAAACAAACAAACAAAACCACTATCGCCAAGTTGATCTCAACTCATAGCAGTCCTCCACTGGGTTTCTGAGGCTGTAAACCTTTACAGGAGGTAATAGTCATTTTTCTCCCATGGAGCAGCTGGTAGATCCAAACCACTGACCTTTCAGCTGGTAGCCCAATATGTATATATGAGATATATGAGAAAATTAAAGAAATTACCATCATTCTTTAAATACCTTCAAAAACAGTGTGGGCTGCAAATTTGGAATATTAGTACAAAATAGAAATTTCATGTGCACAGTGAGATGAAAATTACCAGGAGGCCCACAAGAACCTTTTCTAAAAAGTTTTAATGAATTTAGTTTTTAAAGTCATTGGGTTATCTACTCGTTACTTCACAAAAACACGCATGACCCAGATTTCAAATTACAGTGAGTTTCAAAAGGAGAAAGCAACTTTCCCTTACAATGGTAACGTGACTTCAGCGACACTCAGATTCAATTCACTCTATATAAGGACTGATGTAGGAAATTTCCATGGTCTTATCTGGCTCCAAAGTATTACTACTGTAGCTAATCTTTATAAAGAGATTTAACTGCCTCATCTGAAAGAATTTGTATTAAAAAAAAATGTACAGCTTACACCTCACTCACTTATACCTGACTTTGTGTACTATGTTACAAAGAAAAACCAAACCAACACCACCAAAAAATAAATCCCTCAGGAAGAGAACTAGTTTGAGAGACAGAAAAGAGCAAGTAAACACCAGACTACAACTTCAACGCATTCTCAGTACAATCAGCCTATACAGTTTAGTAGAAATATATTGTTCTTTACATGAAAGTAAGCCTTGGGGTATAGTTAAGAACTACACTGCCAACCCAAAGGTTCCAGGTTCAAATCCAACAGCTATTCTGTGGGAGAAAGATGGGCAATCCCCTCCCATGGAATTTAAAGCCTCTGAGAACCTACTGAAGGGTCGGTCAGCTATGGGTCGGTTCTGACTTGATGGTACATATTATTAGAGAAACCATCTTTACACCACAGATACCATTCCAAAATTCTGACGAAATCACTCTCTTCTCAAACGCAGTTTGAGAAATACCTGTTGTTGAAAGCCATCTAAAACAGCAAATACAGCATGCAGACTTCAACTTGAAAAATGAAAATCTGCCTACACCAGTGATATACAAATCAAAACCACAATGAGATACTATTACACTCCCACTAGAACAGCAATGACAACCACCATCACCGTCAAATGCTCCCCAGTAAAAAACAGAAAATAGGTGGCAGGTAGAGAAACCCTTACCCATTCTGGTGGGAATACAGAATGGTATAGCACGCTGGGAAATGACAATTCGACACAGCTCTCCTAGTCCAAGGTACACACCCAAAAGCAGGAACAAGTCACTCTATAAACAAGGTAAATCCAGGCTTGTGTTTACTTCCCAGTCATTGTTAAACAATGTCATATAAGTAAGCACAACTCAGCACATGCTTTCCTTGGGCACTTTAAAAGAGGTTCTGAGTCTGTGGGAAGGTGGTGTGGGGTTGCAACACAGAGCTGTTTGTGTTGCAGTTCTGATTTCCTTAGGATATATTACCAGTATTGGGACAGCTGGATCAAATGGCATTTCACTTTTCAACTTTTTCAAGATGTACTAGACTGCCTGCACCATTTTACTCCTGCTTCCTGGGTAATACAGTAACATCAAAAAGCAAAGGGACAAACCTGTACACCAAGGTTTAGTGTAGCACTGTTCACAACAGCCAATAACAAAGAAATGACTAAACAAAGCAAATACTATGGAAAATTATTCAGGTACAAACAAAAATGAAAGTCTGATGTATGTCCCAATGTGGTAAACTTTATAAAGAATAAATGTTGTTAGGTTTTTTTACTTCAACAAGCAAAAAAAGTCAGATGCAAAAGGATAAAAACTGTATGATTCTACTTACATAAAACATGGAAATATATTGAGGAATCAGCTTTTTAGTGAGAGGGAACATGGAAAGATTTGTGCTTAAGAGGCATCAAGTCTGTTAACAGGGATGTAAAAATTTTTGAAAATGACAGTAAGAATGGAAAGTCCTAAATTATCCATGTATAAACCGTCCAACTAGTGACTTTTGTGCTTATTTTCACCAGTTTGTTGGTTTGGGTTTTTTGGTGTTTTTTTTTTTGTTGTTGTTGTTTTTGTTTTTTAAAAAGAACTTCCCATGGGGAATGTCTCAGACACTACAAAATCTACTGGGCACTGCATAAAGACAAAGTTAGGAAAAGATTTAATATCACGACAGTAAAGACTTGCCTGTTTTCAAAGACATAAACCACAAACACAAGTTCATTAATTATGTTAGCTAGTCAAATACAAAAGCCAAGTAAATCTTAAATGACACCTAGAAAAAAGTTACAAGTTCAAATTAACCCTCGAGAAGCAAAGTATGGAGCAAAAACTTCTATTTCATTGGAACTGGGAATGGAGACTGAAAAGGCGCACACTTGACTTGCTTCCCCTGTGATCTGGAGCCCAGGTCCAGGAGCAGCAGTAGCGCCTGCGAGGGTCACACCTGAGATGACCACCTGACTCAGTACCTCGAGCACCTAGACAGCTTCAGAAAACAAACCAGCTCATCCAACAGTCCTCAGGTGTCAAGCTCAGCCGAGGCCGGACCCCGCTGGCTGGAATCCCTCCCACCACCCACTCCCACATTCGCAGGCAGCGCCACCTGATCTCCGTGGCCCAGAACGTCCCATCGAAACGCCAATGACCCATCCGGGACGGGGAGAGGTCAGCACAGCCCACAGAGGAAGGCAACTCCGGTGGTTCAAACCCAGAGGGGCCCCGAAGGAGAAAGGCCGACACCCGCCTCCCACTGATTTATTCTGGAAGCCAGGGCAGGGTCAGCTGGGGTCAGTCCAGCCTCGACGAGGACGGACACACGCTCACATCACACCTCCCCTGCGCAGGTAACCGGAACGAGTCATCTCACCCGCAGGAGGAGCCGCCAGGTACCTGGACGGCGCACCACGTGAACTTCAACAAAAAGCCGCTGCGGAGGCGGTGCTGACCAGCGTCCACTAATTAAAACCCGAGTCCCGCAAGATAAAAGCCGGAGAGGGAGAGCGGGTCAGCGCGGACCCTCCCAGGACAGCCGGACAGCAAGAGACGACGGCTGCTCGGGGCGCAATCGCCGCGCGTGCAAGCCCTGGACAGAGGACACTGCCCCCGGGGAGACCACGGCAAGGGCCGAGCTGGCGCCAGCGCGCGGCCTCCGGACACTTAACACGCACCATCGCCGAGGGTCACGATGAGCGACCGACGGGCCCGCGCCCACACCACGACCCCCGCCCTTCCAGGGCCAACGGCGACTCCCGCACCGGGTGTGTCCTTGGGCAAAAAAGGCTCCGGAGACACCGGCCACTCGGCAGGGACCCGACCCCACGACCTGACCCCGCGCCCCAGTAACCCCGAGCCAGCAACCTGACCCCGCAGCCAAGGGACCCGACCCCGCGGCCCAAGGACCTGACCCCGCGCCCCGGGAACCCCGAGCCAGAGACCTGACCCCGCAGCCAGGGGACCCGACCCCGCGCCCCGGTAACCCCGAGCCAGAGACCCGACCCCGCGCCCCGGGAACCCCCGGCCCGGGCACGCACCTCATGCTGTAGGCGCCGGCGCCCAGCTCCTGCCCGATGCCCGAGAGGCTGGCGTCGAAGTCGTGCACCAGCCCGGACTCGATCACCTCGTCCATCTTGAGCACCCAGGCCATCTTCCGGCCTCTCCGCCGCCCTGCGCGCCCCGCGGCCTCCGCGATCGCGGCGCAGGGCCCGGCGC